AAATTTGCTGAGTTGAGATCTATTTTTTTTGTTATAACTGTTAATTTATAACAATGCAGTGCTGGATTTTTTTTCTATGCTCTAATAAATGTTATAGGGAGATTGTTCAAAGATGGATAAAAACTGGTAAATATGCTCTTTTATGCTTGCATTCTTCTTAAGGCCCATTAGCTGTTTTAAATTTTCCATCACATCTTCCAAATGGACACCTTACACTTTTCCTGTGGCCCTTTTGTTTGAAATTGTGTAGTAAAACATCTGGAAAATACTGCTAAATTGGACGATTTTGTTTTGAAAATTCTACAACAATCATTGAAGACCTTTGGAGAAATATTGAGCAAAATGTTCAAACATTTTTCATAGTGCATGATTCCAGTTTCCTAAAAAATATTATTGATTTAACACAATTCAGTAGGCTATATACTGAGTTTGCATAAATTCAGTATTGCTAGTATCTATCTGATACCAATACCTGCGTTGGTATCGATACTGTCGATATTTAGATCCATCCAACAAGCTCTAGCAGACATCTCTAATAGATGTTCGAGATATATCGGGGGAAGGGGTTGAGGTAGTGCTTGATTCCGATTTTATCCTTTAGCTTCTTGGTTGAATTTGTGTTTGAAAAAAAAAATGTTTCATTTTACTTCACAGAGACATTGCCAGCGCCATAAAAGAGCTTCTGGACACAGTCAACAATGTCATTAAAAAATATCAGTACCAGAATCGCAGAGTGAGTAATGAATACGCTACAATTACTACTACTTGAATTATTTCACATTTTCCCCTCATTTCAAATGGATGTTTTTGCTTTATTTTCTGCTCGGCAAGGCCCTGGAACACCAGAAAAAGGAGTTTGTGAAATACTCCAAAAGTTTCAGTGACACCCTCAAAACATACTTCAAAGATGGAAAGTAAGTATGGCACCACGTGTTATGCCTCAGCTAATCAGTACCCTGTTTTAAAGACAGATTCTATTGAATCTTGAATTGCATTAAAACATAAAAAAGAGTTGGTAAGCTCTGTGTGCCTGTCATATAATGTGTGTCTCTGTTAAACATGTGCAAATGTATTTTCTAAAACTGCCTGGTCGTTGTTGCATATAGTGTGCATAAAGATATTTCACAGTAAAAGTTCAAGAAAGCAGTGGTTTCTAAAAACAGAGGAAACGGGTCCAGAAATTGTTGAATAATAAAGCATAATTTAAGATTTGTCAACGTAGAAGATTTGATGATCAACTGTATCAGTGGCTGAGCTAAGATCCAGCAAAACAAGACATCAACAGTCACCCGTATCTACAGCTATCAGAATTTGAGACTTTAAGGAGCTGTTTCTGTGGACTGTAACATCCTGAAACCAAAGTTATCTGGAATATCGGGCTTCTCTAACACCTTGTCTCAGCAAATTTTTCAAATATTTTAGCAATGAAAGGAAGTTTTAAAGAGGTCTATAACTTGTGTGTATTGCTGTTTGGATAACCCCCTGTTTAAAGCACTTGGGGGGACAGTCTTGCATCAAAGAGCAATTTATGAGTGTGACCACAGAAACCCCAACAGAGTCAAAAACTTGGGGTTTTATGGTTGTGGGTAAGTGGTTGTGGGTAAGTTGAGGATTTTATTTCAGATATAGCCACTATAGAAATTGGGTGAAAAGATTCCATATTTTGGGATGTGGGAGATTGCAATTGAAGCGGCAAAATGTTAACGTTACTGCAGTCCTTATTTGAGAAAACTGGTGTTCGTGGTTTTGTAGGAGGAACTAGCTCATAGTTGGTTATCATCAGATTGATAATAACTAATGCAAAGTGTTCCAAGGTATGACTTTTGTCCGTGTGCAAACAAAGTGTCATCCTGTTTTGTGTCAACTGTGGATAAAGTTGTTAGAGAGGGTCACAGGAGCATCCATGCTTGCAGGACTTCTACTCCTATTGTTTAGATTTGAATATCCTTAACCAATTAGATAAGGGAAGGCAGCTTTTCCACTCTTGTTCTAAAGTTGTTGTTCACTCTGTTGTACTGTGTATGATGTTCTCCAGTGAGTTTTCACAAGCTATCATTTTTCTTTGTTCCCAGGGCAATAAATGTCTTCATCAGCGCAAACCGGCTCATCCACCAAACCAACCTCATACTGCAGACCTTCAAAACCGTGGCCTAGCCCCACACCTCACCCCGACCCCACCCAAGAGACCACAGAGCCCCCTTCTCATTGTCCCTTGGGGAACAACTGCTAAAATGGCAGAGGCTTGAAGAGCACCTCACCCATATATGTAAATTAGAGTTGATTTTTTAGGGTTGGGGTCGATGTCATTGGAGTCGAGATTCTAGATTCCAGTTCAAGAGACTGAAAAGTGCCATTTGTTTTTTTTCAATGACGATTTTCCAGTCTTGAAGTGGAACTGAACAGGGGCCCAAAGTCTTGGTTAATTGATTTTATTTGGACAGTTTTAATTTATAACCCAAAACTTGTTTGGGAGGTGGTGAGGCGAGGTGTTCATTAAAGACTAATTGCCATTTTTCTAATATATTCATGTTGATCATTTTACTTTTAGCTTTTCAGTCATGGCTACACATCTGAGACTACATCCAGTAGGGATTGTTCTCAGTAGTCTATACCAGTTTTCTCTTCTCGCCTCCTATTTGTGTCATTTTTGCCACGGGCTGTATGGATTGACAGAAGCACCTGGCTGCAGGTCAAACAGTTGCGAGGAGAGGAAGCAGAGTTGGACATTTGAGAGGCAGATTTCGTTTCTCTTTATTATCAGAAGAAAGAAAGCCAAAAGACTTCCAGCACAGTGTGCGCCTTACCAAGTCCTGTAACATTCCCTCCTCTCAAGAGTGTAATGAAGTGGAGCCAGTCCCTGCTGTTGAGGGATGTAGAGAGAAAAGAGTTCTGTATTTAACTGGTTGCAAATGTTCAATAAATAGTTTCCAAATGATGATGCTTTTTTTATCTGTGTCCGTGTCCAGTGTGTGTGGGGTCAACTTTTCTGTGTGAGTGGGAGAGGATTTGCTTTGCAGTGGCATGGCCTGAAAAATAGATGTGTGGTCACATTGTTTTATTCAAAAAAAGGATTTTACCATTTCAGAACAATGATACTTTGATAACGCTGCCAAATGGTCAGTTTGAAAATGGTTGCAGCTTTCTGTGGCTCTGTTTGTTTTCTTTTTTCCCCACTTGTCAAAACAGGTTTGCCGACATTTCTTTAAGTAGCCTTGAGCCGTTGCTGGAAGAAGATACGAGGGAACGGATTTCTATTAATCTCCTTACTTTCTCAAAAACATTGAACCTATCAGATCAGGGGTGGGGAACTCCAGGCCTCAAGGGCCGGTGTCCTGCAGGTTTTAGATCTCACCCTGGGTCAACACACCTGAATCACATGATCAGTTCGTTACCAGGCCCCTGGAGAACTACAAGACATGTTGAGGAGGTCATTTAGCCATTTGAATCAGCTGTGTTGGATCAAGGACACATCTAAAACCTGCAGGACACCGGCTCTCAAGGCCTGGAGCTAATACTAGAATATCTTTTTTAAATGTTGGTGAATAGAAATATAAAAAGACATGAAATGTGAATACAGGTAAATTATTATTATTATTTTTTAATGTCATCCACCCACAACTGTTAAAAAAAGCTGTTAAACCCCTCAAAAACCAAACCTCCACATACATTTTTAAAACTGTCCTCTGAATACAAAGAAAATGGCATGCTATGCCACACCGATGGCTTTCGAAAAGAATGAATCGCAATTATCTTTTGTCTTTGTTATACACACTTAAACATTAAATATTACTGGTGGAAAACAAAAGTAATCATTTAGCTTAAATACCTCCAAACCTCAAATAATCATTTGCAGTAGTTACAGAGGAGACTTGTACAACCAGAGGAATACATTCATTCATCCAACCATTCATTCATTTATCAATTCATCCATTCTTCCCTTATGCTAGAAAATTAACCTTTTACAATGCACCTGATTTGCTCACAAAAACAAAGAGAAAAAAGAAAAACAAAGATTTTATTTTGCTGGTTACAGCAAAATGAATGATCACAGTTTGTTTGATTAAAAAAAATAGATATATAAATCATTTTTAAAAATACGCAATAGCAGCAACTCATTGCATTTAGGCACATGGACATGGGTCGTGTCCAAATTCATGGGCTGCATCCTCCTGAGGACCCGGCCTTTGCGGTCTACGTGGGCCGGGTCCTCAGAAGGTCGGGTAGGCCGGAAGTAAACGGCCGTGAAATTGGACGGTCTAGCCTTCAGATTAGCGTCGCCGCTGTCTCGGTGGAGTTTAATAAACTCAGCCGTCTGCTCCTTGCTATCTAAAATATAACAGGACACTGGCGTAAATTCTCGACTGGCTCATACTTATGTTTAATCAGTTTTCTGTTTGACGTTTAGTCAGCTGTGTAAAAACCAAGGAGGAGGGGGATTAATAAAGTTTTATTTTATCTAATCTAATCTAATAACTTTAATCTCAGCCAAACCGATTTACTCACGAACAAACAAAACACTGAAAAAAGCCCAACAATAACATTTTTAGGTTGTCTAAGTGACATATATTACGTTTAACCCGAGCAGCGAAAGTCCGCGGTGATCTGAAAATGATGTGCCGGGAGTTGTGCCGTTCTCGGCCGCATCAGTAACCCTCGAGCTCCCGGCTAGCTATCGAGCTGGTGGGTAGCAGAAGCCTCCGAAAACGTCGAAGCACTTTTGCAAATATGCGATATCTTGATAAACCGAGCAGATATTTGATGTTTACACAACTACTTTCTCGCCTGAAAATATGTTAAAAGGTTATTTTGTGACCCAGAAAGATTAGTATGAGTAATTTTAAAACTTAGTAGCAGCCGCCATTGTTGGAAACTGGAGTTTGGCTGGGCCGCGCTATGAATTCTGGGATATGGTAGGCCATGAAGGACACACCCAACCCATCCTTCAAATTCGGGGAAAAGGAGGACGCATTTGTCGGCTACATTCGGAGGAGTCTACGAATTTGGACAGCCTTCGGCGCGTCGCTGTCTACAAATGCGGCCTCAGGAGGATGCAGCCCATGAATTTGGACACGACCATGGTCAAGACAACTCCCTGAAGTCAAAACAGTATTTGAATGGTGAACAAAGGTGTTTTTAGTGAACGTGTCATGGTTGTTGGTGCCAATCTGGCTGTTCTGAGTATTTCACAAAATGCTTATTTACTTTTCTCACACAACCGTCTCTAGTTATTGAATGTAAATTATGTAATGAATGTAAAGGCTGGAATGCGAGTACGGGTCTAAGATATCATTTTCAAACTGTGATGGTTCATACCAATAACAGCATGAGCCTTTCATTTTGGGGAAAACTGGGTCAAGGTCACAACAAATGATAAAATATATAAGAATTTTATATTACCAACATTATCCTTAGACCTTAGGAGGAAGGGCCTCGTCTTTCAAGACCTTGTATTTACATGTTGACTTTACTCTCAAAATAGTATTTAAACTTTATTCCCTAAGCTCTTTCTATCTAACACATTACAGAGACACTTGGTGTTATTGTCTTGCCAAAGAATACTTGGCATATTGTGGTGACTCGATAGGGATCAAACCACCAACCTTACAATTAATAGGTGACCTGCTCTACCTCCTGAGCTACAGCCACCCCAGATAAAAATGCTTTCCCCATCTCTGATGGGAGGACTATTTAAATGGTCACACTCATATCACACAGCATTGGAACCAATGTGTTCTTCAAAACACTTGTAGTTATTCAAGGTAGGCAATTAAGCCATATTCAGGTAAGTGTAGGGATTTTACTGGCACTTGGTGCAAAATAAGCAAACTATTCAGAAAACAATGACACAATGAATTCACAAATGCCCCTGATTCAAAGATGCACATTCACGATCTGATTCACTGTGTTTAACAAGTGTCCATCGTAGTGCCTGTACATCTTATCCATTAGTTCTATGTCAAGTTCAACATCCCCACCCTCTTCAACACCTTGTCCACGTTGGGAATGAGTTTTTCCTGAAAGTCCCACAGTCGTTTATCCACATTAAGCTGCTCCAGGGTTAATGATCCCTGTAGAGCCACACGGACATGAATGATCCGACAAACATCGAGTGGAACCTTGTAGCGTTCTCCAAAATTCTTGATCACTTCATGGACTGAAGTCCACTCCACCATTCTGTGACACAAAACACAAGACAGTTAACTGCTAGGAGTTAAGGGTACACCGATTACTGAAGATCCTGCTCTTTAGGAGTGCCCTGAAGGTTCTTTGAAAGTTTCACAAATCAGTCTTGGGGGACCCTTAGTGAATGTTCCCTGGGTTTTCTGGCAATACCTTAAGGGATGATCTCTGAAAAATTGGCAAAAATAACCCTCAGGTTGTTCGGACATTCTCTAAACTGTGACCTTTAGGAAACCCGTAGGGAGCCTTCCCTCAAGGTTTCTGTTTCCTGGGTTCATGTTTACATTTTGTGTTAGTTCTGTATGAGCAATATGACATATTTCAAATCTGAAAGTTCAAATGTTAATCAAATTAGATAGGAACAAAATAAGAACTTTTGTTAAATGTGTTTTGTACCTGGGACTGTCATTCCAACCAGTTTTGATGTTTCTCATATCTCATATCATGGTTTATCAAGTTCAATAACTAAGGTACTTATTTTTTTTTTTAACTTGCAGTCAAATGTATAATTAAGTAAACCGAAGAACTGTATCCTAAATAGAGTAAATCTTCCGTCTGACAAATTCAGCTTACCTTGGCCGAACTATCATCTTGTGTGGATGGTATATGTTTCTGGCGGGGTCCGCCCTGTAGATGTGCTCCAGAATATTAATTCCTGGCACCCCGTTCCACTGAGGCAGGTGAAACCGTCCGCTTGGCTCAAAGTGTTTCTTTGGGAAAATATGATTCTCAATAAGGAACACCCCTGCCTTCAAATTAGATAAAAACAAGTCAAATACAACTTATTGTATGGGATACTGAATTTTTGATGAAATGTATTTTCAAATTTATTACAAGAACAGCCTACATTTGGATGCTGATTTCGGAGCGTGTTCATCAAAGACATCAGGTCATCGTGCTGGTATGGCATTATAATCTCATCAATGTCATTCAACAGGACATAGCGAGAACGCTCCATTGATCTGTAAATGCACTCATTAAGTGTGGTCAGCTGGCCAAAGTAGTGCACGTCTCCTCCATGCTCTGAGTGAAGCCAGCCACGAGATGGATTCAGATGCTTGTCAATGGGCCAAGGAACCATTTCCACAAAGCCCTCGTCGCTGTAACTCTGCAACAGGCGATTGAGCTCTAGACCACAGCTGGTGTTATAGATCACCACTCTGTTCACACCCAGCAACCTGGGACAAAATAAATGGTAAATGGCCTGTATTTATATAGCGCTTTACTAGTCCCTAAGGACCCCAAAGCGCTTTACATATCCAGTCATCCACCCATTCACACACTGGTGATGGCAGCTACATTGTAGCCACAGCCACCCTGGGGCGCACTGACAGAGGCGAGGCTGCCGGACACTGGCGCCACCGGGCCCTCTGACCACCACCAGTAGGCAACGGGTGAAGTGTCTTGCCCAAGGACACAACAACCGAGACTGTCCAAGCCGGGGCTTGAACCAGCAACCTTCCGATTACAAGGCGAACTCCCAACTCTTGAGCCACGATCGCCCCAAAAATAAGGCAAATTAGTTCATCGTTGTCAGCAAACAAAACAGATTACTAAAAACAATTGTGGTTTATATAGCAAACAGTTGGTCATTTTTCTATCCTTAGTATAATATTTATACTGTGTTATACTATTTATACTGTATTAGCCTGTACCTGTCACAATAGCTTGCAGCTATGTGACTGATAAAATACACAGACAAAAAATAATATTATAATCATTAAGAGTAGACTGTGGTGTTTCTCAAGTAGGAGGGACACTGTCTATTCCTAACTGGTTCTGAACAGCTGGAAATCCACAGTTTACAGGGCTAAAAATCCATTTTCCTACAGTGTCTGAAAAGACGTACAGCTCCTGCAGAATTTTAAACCGTGCTCCCATAAATATTTAGTGCCAAGTGATAGACTTCTGAGGGGCAAGACACTGTCCAACAGTTGTGTCTGTTACTCCAGAAGCAACAGGAGTAACAGACACAACTGTGCAATGTGATACAATCCAGACACTGCATTGAAGAGGAGCCTTTGCAGAGCTTGTTAGGTTTCATTCTGTGTCAGGACCAGCTGCTGTTGCACATTTTTGACTTTGTAGCTTGTGGTGGTGTTGCAGTACTCACTTGTACATCTCCAGAGTCTGTGCAAACTGAAGCACATTGTTGTAGTCACCAAAGAGGTTAGAGATGCAGACTGTGAAGTCAAACTGCATGTTTTCTTCCTTCTGTCCAACTGTGTCTTTGTTTCTTATTGGGAGCCATTGATCAGTAGATGGACTCTCTTTGTCTGGTGTAGTCAAGAGAGTGACACGTGTCGCATTGCAGTTCTGAGGAATCTGACACATGACATCCGTAGTGACAAAGGGAAAACCAAAGTTATCTGGATGCTGTAAAATTGTTGCTGGAGTGGTTTTACTCAAATAACCAGTACAGCAGAAAAAGCAGTGAAGGGGTTGAATGGAGTCTCTCCTAAATATGCCAATGATGCGTATATCAAAATCCTTCACTCTTTGGTCCATGTAGGCTGACACCAGTAAGTGCTTGGTATTGTTAAGCGGCGTGATGGTCTGCTCGGATATCCTCATGGAGCAAGCACTTTGCGGCCCAGATGGTTTTGGGATTGAGTTGTATGTGCTGGGCGTTTTCACAGTGAAGACCAAAAAGAGGAAGAGTGCAGTGATGAAGACGAGAACCAACTTCTTTTTAAAATGCTTTAACAGCTCCATCCAGGCAGTGGAGATGAAACCAGTTCCCAACCTGTACCAGAACACAGAATTGTGGTTAGTTTCAAAACTAGCAAAATTTGAACTCTGATGAAAAACCTTTAAATCTTAAAATCTTAAAAGAAAAAAAAAAAAATCTAGAACTACCAAATGTTCACATTACTTCAACCCAGTGTCTTCTTGCTGCGTAGTCTCAGATTACACAAACAAGGAACAACAATTAAAAATATCAATTTATTACAAAGGTTAGACCTAATGATGTTCTCTGGCCAGTGGCTTTTGCTTGGACCCTTTGAAGTATAGAAAAGAGTGTGCTGTCCTTCAGGGACTACTGTGATAAGCTGATAAAGACAATTAAGAGATAGGATAACTGGGGTGAGATCTAGCCTTAATCTGCCTTGGTAGATATTAATGAAGGACACTATCTATGGAAATTTTGGATAGTCATAGCTGGACATCCACAGATGTAATAGATACACTTAAGAGTTCCCATTATAGATATCACTCACTACACCATGGACAATGCCACACACAAAGAGGAAACCTAATTCTTATTGACATACTTTATTTCACTAGCTGGGCCAACATCCTCACTTTAAGTTTGACAGCGTTTTAGTAGGTAAAAGTGAATGCTTTGACATGAATTGAGCTGCAGTTTGTGGAAGGCCTCAAAGGGGACTGGTGATGGCTCCCAGGTACTATATAGAAGTGAAGAAGGAGGGAGGGTGGGGCACGAAAACGAGAATGATCGGCTTGCAGAACTGGGGGAACCTATTTAGATGACAGCTGGAAGGAGCGTGTTTGGAGATGTGGTCCTGCTCCTGAAATTCCGATACATAATCTCCAATGCTAAATCTGGAATACTAAATGGTTAAAGAACATTGTTATGCAATAACTGCAAGTTTCCCCTTGAACAGCTGCTACCAAGAAAAGAAGCCTCCTCTGTGTAGCCTGAAAGGTGAAGAGCAAATAAAATCTTTTGTAAAATTCGCATCTGCTTGTTTTGTTTAATTGCTTTCTTCCTAATGGAAACTGAAGGAGAACCTTCCTTTGTTGCAAAGAGGATATCATCACTAGTAAATCACACAAGCTTTATAAGACTTCCATATTTTAGAAAAAAAGCAAACTTATACTATTGAAGGTAATGAGAAATTGTATCTCTTTAACACCTGACCTGTCCAGAGGGTCAGTCAATGAGCTCGTCAATAGCTTCAATGCTAACATGTTAAATGTAATGGACACTATTGCTCCCATTAAGGTGAAGGTTATCTCTGGAAGGAAAAAGTCCCCATGGAGAAACTCCACACTGGTGAAAAATGAAAAAAGAGAGTGTAGGAAAGCTGAGCGCAGATGGAGAAAAACAAACCTCCAGGTTCATTATGACATTTATAAAGAGAAACTTCACAATTATAATTTACAACTGAGGAATGCAAGGAGGTCCTACTTCTCTGACATCATCACTAAAAACAGCCATAATGCTCGGGTCTTATTTTCTACAGTTGACAGGCTAACAAACCCTCCTGTGTCAGTGGCAGCTGAACTTCATTCGACCATGGCCTGCAATGACTTTGCCAAATTCTTCACTGAAAAAACCCAAAAAATTAGACAAGCAATTGGTACATCAACAGCAGATCCAGGATATGTACTGTGTCCACCAAAAAACTGTTTAAACACCATGAAACAGTTTCACCCTATTAACAGCAAATACCTGGAGGACATCATAGGTCAGCTGAACTCCTCCTCCTGCTGTTTAGATGTCCTGCCAACACGTTTTTTCAAAAAGGCCTCAAAGACTTTAGAGTCAGACCTGTTACAGATCGTCAACTTTTCTTTATTATCAGGTGTGTTTCCAGAATCACTAAAAACTGCTGTAATCAAACCTATACTGAAAAAGGACAATCTTGACAAGACACAAATGAACAACTACAGGCCGATCTCAAATCTCCCGTTTTTAAGTAAGATCATTGAAAAAGCAGTTTCTCAACAGCTCAGTTACTTCTTAAAACAGAATAATTGCTACGATGCCTTCCAGTCAGGTTTTAGACAGAACCACAGCACTGAAACTGCTCTGACCAAAGTGTTCAATGACATATGTCTGAATACAGACAGTGGAAAAATGTCAGTCTTAGTTTTACTGGATCTCAGTGCAGCATTTGATACAGTTGACCACAACATATTACTCAAACGACTGGAGAACTGGACAGGTCTTTCAGGAACTGTACTAAACTGGTTCAAAACATACGTAGAAAACAGGAAATACTTTGTATCAATAGGTAACTTCACATCTGAGCAGACAAGTATCACATGTGGAGTTCCCCAAGGTTCCATCTTGGGACCCCTTCTGTTTAACATCTACATGCTCCCACTGGCACAGATTATAAAATAGTATAAAATAGTAAAAATAAAGAAAATCCATTAATGAGAAGGTTTGTCCAAACTTTTGACTGGTAGTGTACATTTTCTGGTAGAGAGGTGATGAGCTGCCCACGGGAATATGGAGGAAAAACACAGACATGAATGTAGCTTACATCTGTGGATCTGTGCAAAGCTGGCAGTGTTAAATTTGTTTCAAAACCCCCACGTGGGCTTGTGATGTATTATATTTTAACATTTTTTTAAATTTGCCTCTTACGGGCACCAGCATACCCTCCGCATTGATCACTCTGCTTACTGCCACAACATCAGCATGCAGTCACTTATATTAATGCCACTATTAAGGTGTGGTAACCTGCTGCAGTATTCTTCTGAATGATAGGTGCTGGGCACAAATGTACTGATGTAGGAAGAGAAGAAATCAAAACCAGAAGCAAATTGTTAAAAACACTTTGGAAAAACTAAGTCTCCAATTTTTAAACAGCTGCAACATTGTCCTCTGTATAACTGTATCCGAGTTTCTGTACTGGAATATCATTAAAAACGAACACACTCAAACATTTGTGTCTTCAACCCAGCTGTGACACAACCCGCCACGTTACGAGAAATCGAGAGCCACACAATCGGCCGCAAATATTGTGACGAATGCCTCATGATGTGATATCAAAATCAGCGAGCGACACCCATGACACAGGTTGCACAGCAAGCATAAAAACAACATCATTATCCATTCCTGGGTCCACTCTTCTTTGATTTCCATAGCCAAAACAAACACTGTGGTATCACTGAGTTAAAAGTGGCCCAAATGATTTCATCTTCAATAAAATGATCAGTGTGGCTGCCTCCCAGCTGTTACAGTAACATTAACATCCAGGCATGCATGAAAGAGAGTTTGAAGTTAGCAGGAAGTTAGTTTGCCAGTTTCCATCTAAAGATGAAATGCCATGATCCGACTGGCACGATCTGATATCATTGTGTTGGTGTTGTTCCCAGATCATCATACTAAATGTTGTTCCAGGATCAACATTGCAAGTGACCAATCAATGTTGTGACGTCATACTTTTGCGACTTTGGGAAAAACTGCCGTAAAACAAAAAACTGTACTTAAGCTGCGAGAAACCGCCTCTGTCCGCCGATCAACGGACCCTGACCCTGACCCTTTAATAAATGGTAAGCAGAACTGATATTGTCCTTGCAACATTGGAATTTCATAAATGCACGAATGGCTTGGCGCGCAAAAGAATAACCTGGAACAACATTTTCATGATGATCTGGGAACAACACCAACACTACGATATCAGATCATCCTTCTGACTGACGGATTTCTAAAAACACTAAATTAAACAGCACCAGTGTTTGTATGGTTTATGAAGTTGGGCTAGCTGGCATAGAATGGCTAGCTACAGAGCTATGGTTAAGATAATACAAACAAATTTGCAGAACGAAGATTGAGGATGAACATTAACTTTTTCACCCCAAAACCCCTTAATGTGAGAGTCAAATACAAATACAACCATATAACAGGTGTACAGGCTAAGCCTACGCTTGAAGCCACTGAGGTGTATGACTGGTGAACTTGACAAGAAAGTCCAGTCAATAACTCCAGCTGTACCTTGTCAGTTTAAGCAGTCTAAGCAATCACCGTTGATTGCATTTGATATTTCACAGTTGATCGTAAGATCCAACATCATCCAACATAAATCACCGCAGTCACAAACTGTTTGGTCCTTCCAACCAGCAACACCTGACCCTAATTAAATGTTCTACCTTCCATACAATCATTTACAAATACAAAAAAGTGACACCTAGAGGCACACATAAGGTAATAAGCAAAACACAAAAATGGCTCCTACACACCAGGCCCTAAGTGCAATGGCTGTCAGACATGACAATTCTAATTATAAAGCAAATAAGGAGCCAAATTAAAAATAAAGTACTTCCATTTTAGACACACACACAAAAAATAAAATAAAATAAAAGCACTTAAATACACTTTTAAACTACAGTCTAATGTAAAAGACAAAGTTTAGTTACAGGGATTTCAAGAATGTTGGTCTTTGTCTTTAAAGTCCATTTTTATCATGAATGGTTTCACGAACACGTCTAAGGGGCCAAGAATCTCGGGGGACAGAAGAACCCATTAAAATAACTATATACCCTGGTTTTAGATTTTTCCTCTTTTGGTTGTCTTTTTGTCTCTTGTGTAACAAAGGCAGGTATTCACGTATCAGGAGGATGTGATTTGGAGTAAATGACTCTAGGTCTTTTGGATCATCAGGCAGCTTTGTTATGGGTTGATCAATTGCAATTGCTTCAACTTCACACAGAACTGTATTTAATCCATTGTTGTTGAACTGTTGTTGCTGAAGAACTGATCTCAAAATCAGTCTGAGTACTCACAGCCCTGCCATTGTCTATCATGTCGGCCAGCCATAAAATCATAAAAAAAAAAAAACCCAAAAGACATGAGAAGCCAAGCAGGAAAGACAAGGGAGGGAGAGTATGGCATTATTTTTGTGCCACTATTCTGAGCGCACGTAAAAAAAAAATTGAGCGCAGGTAAAAAAAAAGTTTGCAGGTGCAAGTGTTGTATTTTGAGGAGAAATTTATTTTGAGCGAACAAAAGCTGAATTTGATTGAACAAAATTAATTGCTGCGTGC